TTCTCTTTTGGGTTAACTATTAGACTATTATTGCATCGTTGACTAAACACACAGGAGACCCAAGCAGGCGAGAGACTGGTACCCACTTATTTGTTGTACCATCTATCGCATATAAACGATTGGAAATGATTTAGGGATGAAAATGTTTAAATTTTCTACGTGACATGAAAGAAGTTCGTCTTGTAGTCACCTTTCAATTTTATCCAGTTTGCACTGTAAATGATGGTTGGATAAAACAACAATCTACTTTGTTCTCGAATTCATACAAAACATTACATCACGTGGTGGGTGGACACTTTTACTATTTTTGGCCCAATAACTTTTCAACACGCTATAGGAGAGCCGCTTACGAGTGAGGTCAGCGAGAGATTGTGGATGAATAATTGATAAAGTCTGTGAACAATAAAAACAAATGTTTAGCAAAGCAAGGGCATTAAGAGAGCTATACCCTAAAGAAAGTAAAGGTCAGTAAAGATGACATTATGCGTCTGAAATTTTCTTGCTCAAAATCGCTCATTGGATGAATCACCGACGGCATCTTGAACGCGCGCATTTATCTAGGAAACTGGTAACTAATATATATTATTCGAAGGGGGCTGTAGAAGTAGTTTTTGTAGCCTCCCAGAATGCTGTATGTTCGTTCAAGCGCCTCCATTCAACGTTCACCGCGAAGTACAAAGAAGCAGCGTTTGTGTTTGTCATATATATTTGATGGTATCTTGGGTTAATTTAAATTTCACATAGATCCCTAGAGAAACTAAGAAGGCTCGCTAAGAAGAATCTCTTGCCTTTAATCACTTAAATATTTGTTTTGTTATATGTTTATTTAAAAAAGAAGTGATTTCTCATCTTATACATTTAATGACATCAGTTGTTTTCCTTCTATCTAAACTAATCATTTTTAAAGCATTGTATATTATTGCTGCATATTTAATCTATAATTAACATGACTATCAACTAGAGTAGTCAATAGAGCAATGGAACATCTTACATGAGTTTCTTCATGATGACAACCAACATCAGTAAAGAAGAATGCGTGAAGAATGGCATCACTTGAATATCTCCTGAAACTTGGTAAAAATAACATTTTATTTTCACTAGTGAAAATAAGACATTCGAGTTTTCTCTATATAGTGGAAGTAAGAAAAAAGGTATTTTACGACATAATTTGCGTTCATATCCAATTATATGATAAACAGAATATTACATGGTCGCTTGGAGATGCAAATTTTATCTTCGAGTGTTGAAGATCTTTTCAACACTCGAAGATAAAATCCGTATCTCCGCGCGTCCATGTAATATCCTCTATAATAATATACATGAAAAAATTACTCAATTCTGATTGGCTGATAACATCTCAATTAATTCTTAATTCAGTGCAATTACATTTCTGCAGTGCAATTACAACAGATTGAACAGTGCAAAAAGCTGTAATATCAGTGCAATTACAATCAAATTTGCGCTTTTGATTGGCTAAGAAACAAAAGAATTGTTGTCAGCCAATAAGAATCAAGCTTTCTTTGTAACTGAAAACTTTTCTCAAGAATCCAAGATGGCGGACACTTCGCCAATAACAGACAAAAAAGTACTCAAAAACTATCAACAACTGCTTAAAAGAAATAACAAAAGCTTTCTCACTCAAGAATTGGACTAGGATTTTGCATTTGTGAAGTTTCAAGCTTGCTAGTTGCCATTTCAAGACGATTTTGCATCGACAATAAATGTCTCGCCTTCCTCACTCGTCCAGCTCGATGGAATTCAGTACAGTTTCAACGTAAAACCAGCTCAAATACTGGCTTTTTTTCCACATTAGCCTGCAAAAGGTATTTTTCTGTTTAAGTGACAATGTTTTTACTGGTCAAATTCAAATAAATTCACTTTAAAACGGAGTAAATCATGTTTTTTTATCAGTAAAAATGACAAAGTACAAGTTTTGAAATTTGTTTTGCTTCAATTTTTTGAATTCTTTTGTACAAAAGAAAGACTAATATGTTATAAACTGGTGTTTTTTTGCTAGCTTTGGTAGTAAGACAAGTGTAATAATTGTTTGTCAAGAAGAAGATAAAAAGACTTAGTATGCATTGATGATATTTTGCTTACATGTCGTTTTTATCGTTAGCTCCTTGTCTAGCCTTGTCAGTATTGGCTTCAATTTTTTTATGTATATTATTTCGGCCTGCGGCCTCACGCAATTATGGCCTCTTTGAAAAACAAACTCGTGCAAATTAATTCCAAATTGAACTCGAAACCATCTTATTACCTATACTTATATCTTAATTGATATTTACAAATGAAAAGTTACCTGCATGGGAGAACGTATTGGAGCGATGGTCACCATCCTTCTCAAAGTGCGCATTGAAGCCCTTGTGCACAGTTTGTGCATTGTCATCACTAACAAACAATACAGCCATCTCATTGGACAAGGAGAAGATCGGCTTTTCTGGAATGGTACTACCACAGAACCGACCAAGTAACTCACCGTTCCAACCCTCGGGTTTCCAATCTCTTATTTCGACGTAGTCGTTGAGGCAGTAGTTGTCATTCTCTAGCTCAAAAGCCTTAAATGTGAGTTTGACGCGAAATCCATTGGGAACAATGAGGCGCCACATTATACACTGTTCTGCAATGTATTTTAATGGGTACTTGGGGCTGGAAAGGCTTCCGCTTGTTTCGTTGATGATGTTTTTGGTATCCCAACAACGTGATCTAGATGCCAATCTGTTTACTACTGTTATTTTTCCTTTGAAACCTTTGAATTCTGAAAAAGGATCTGAATGAAATCGTAGCCAAAATTCCTTTTGATTTGGAGTTATTAGATCGGAATAGATGCGAATTTTGCTTGAGCCACCTTTCTTTAGAGTGGCAATGGCATGAAGTTTACTTTGCCGAAAAAAAATCAATTTGATAGTATTTTTTTATTTTTTACAAGGCAAGGATATTCTCTCACGATCCAGCGATTGTGTATATAATAAAACAATTATTCCTGTCAAGCTACACATAATGCGCTGAAAATGAAATGCGCGCAGCTATTTCAAACGAGTCACTATATACTAGGGAATATCGTCATCATAAACTTGAGTAGGTATAATTAAGAATTGTAATGATTATTGTTTTTAAGTCTATGTGCCATCTAATAGTACCAAAACGTGTTTGGCATTTTAGTTGATTTCTTTGTGGTAACTAGATCAGCAACATTAGTAAGCTCTGACATGAAGAAAACTTACCGGTATTGAGAGCCAAGAGAACATGCATTGTCACGGGCTTCAAGTTGAATAAACCTTTGTGTACATCTATATCCTCCTAAAATGCTGTTTTGCCTTAGTTATGATGTCATAATAAATCATTTTTTACTATTTTCATTGGCAGATATGCAATCAACTGATGGGCATATTAGGTTCCCTCTCATGCGTTTTCATTCGCGCTATTTCGTTTCTCTTGAAAGGAAACAACTAAAATGAATACGAAGGCAACTATATGTCAGAGTATAATTGNTCGAAAAATCGTGAGCCATGCAGAATGACCTCGTCTCGACTATTTCAAAAGCTTTATTTGGCAAAAACGTACTGAAATAAAATATTCATATTCATTTAGAGCATTCAAAACTCAAAAATTCAAAACGTTTAGAGTTCGTACAGCGTCTAGTTACTGCCGAATCATTTGCGATTGAATATGCATAATATTTCGTAAAGAATGTATGTGGCAACCATATCCTCTAGCATGGCGAATGATACAATTCAAGCCTAAATATTTCGGGAACTAAAAAAACTTTATGAACCCAAACCTTGGTAATGTCTTTCCATAATAGTTATCTGTCATATATATTACTAATGTTTCTAGCTCTTCGATCTAAATTTCATTTATCGCTCTTTTGTTGACGTCATGAAAACGAAGAATAGGAAAATTGTCGCGAATCGAAAAATAAATGAATGATGCTGCTAGGCTGAACTAAAATATTCGCGTAAATCTGCAATTTCTCAAATTATTAGTGCTTTCGTTTCACATTCTATTTTAATGATTTCACTGTGGTAGAACGTCAACTTTGTAATTAGAAGACCCGTCCTGGAAGACGATGATGATGAGCTGTCAAGCTCTTTCGGACTTTACTCGCTTAAGTCCAACACTTTCACTCCTTAAAGCTCAGTACCCAATAATTTTAATGATCTCAAAACGGTCGATAATTCGAGCATTCATTCCAAAATGCTGCAGTAATATAATAATATTATGGATTCTACTTTTTATAATTCTATCACTTCAGTTATTTTGGGTATAACTGTGAATGATTTACAGCACAATGTCACTTGACTGAGCAGATGAATAAATATGTAAAGTAATATTATCATCTGTAAATTCAATCTAGTTTCGTGTTGCATTCAGATTTTTTGACAATATAAATCATTTACTCTAAACTTATTTACAAGTTTCCATACATTGCAGGAATTGGGCTCACTGCTTTATCACATCATTTGTCGCAAGCTTTTAAAAATTTTGCACCCATAATCCTTTTCGATAATTCCAAAGCCTGCACGACTGTCTTTGAAGTTGAAGCATCTACGTTCGATTAAGATTAACAATAACAATAAGGATTTTTAAGGATTTTTTAATCATTAAAATGACATAAGACAGATTAACAGANGGTATAACTGTGAATGATTGACAGCACAATGTCACGTGACTGAGCAGAAGAATAAATATGTAGAGCAATATTATCATCTGTAAATTCAATCTAGTTTCGTGTTGCATTCAGATTTTCTGACATTATAAATCATTTACTCTAAGGTAGTCACATGATTCCATATATTGCAGGAATTGGGCTCCCTGCTTTATCACATGATTTGTCGCAAGCTTAAATTTTGCACCCATAATCCTTTTCGATAATTCCAAAGCCTGCACACCTGTGGTTGAAGCGTTGAAGCATCCACGTTCGAGTGAGATTAACAATAACAATAAGTATTCAATGAAATCAGACAGATTAACAGACAATCGTTTCTATCATTCCTTAAACAGAACTATATAAGCTACGACACCGGGAGATCTCTAGTTTCCTATACGTGATTTTTATGTTCTGCCGTTATAGAGTGCACGTCACATAAGCATGAAACAATTCTTAACTAATTAGCGCCTAATAAGATTTAGTTATCAACTAACTAAGAGTTTAGTGAGGCATAAACAAAGACAAGCTTCCTTTCTGGCATCGTGTTCATGCCCCAGTGAATTCTTAGTTAGTTGATAACTAAATCTTATTAGGCGCTAATTAGTTAAGAATTGTGTCATGCTTATGTGACGTGCACTCTATAGTGATGGACTTACGTCTTTCTTATAAGATCTTCGACGGCCAAGGGTTTTTCTTTGTTCGTTGTTTGTTTAGTCACTGTTATAAATGCTTGTGCGACCAGGTGTTTCTTCGTGTTTCTTGATTACACAACACGGTTTTTCTTTTGTCATATGAACGTTTTCGTTGGGTGCCGTTTTTCTCTTTTTTCTGATAATTTTTTTTCGAGCCTCGCGATTTCTGAGACACCATTCTACACCCCTATAATTCGGATACGGTTTTTCTTCAGCATACATGCAGATTTCTAGAGTCACATGTATAAGGACTTCTCTAATATTCAGTCACAGCTAATCGTCTTGGCCTTAATCAAGTACCAGTATAGTTGACATGACCTTGTAAATATTACCATTTGTTACGTACTGATTGAAAAAAACGTGAACCGGCAAGTTCCCAAACATCTGCCAATATATAGGGGAGATTACTTAATGCACCAAAGGATAATATAAAATATATAAATTCAGCTCTCATTATATAGACAACGCGAAAAAGTATAAAATGATCAAGGGATGGACTGAACTTTTCGTGCAATTCTTCAAATCGTCAAATCAAGAATGCTTTCATTTTTAGTCCAAATGAAACCACTTAGCTGTCAAGCTATTTCGACTTTATTCACTGATCGCTGTCCGATACTTTTGTACTCCTCCAGCTCATGCAGTACCCAATCCTAAGGTTTTTTCCTATAAAACCGTGTTGATGGCTCTGGCTTTCATAGTTTCAAAATAATTCAGGCCATTATGAAAAGGTCACGGATTTTATTTATTATTTATTTCTTCTTTCATTTAGTTTCATCATTTATTTCTTATTGAATGATTGACGGCACAATGTCACGTGACTGTGCAAACGAATAAATTTGTAGCGTATTCTTATCTGTAAATTCAATCTAGTTTCGTGTTGATTTTAGATGTTTTGACGATATTGATCATTTACTTGAATTCACTGGCAAATAATAAGCTGCATAATTTCACATTCCAAGAATTGGGTACACGGCTTTTTAATGTTTAGCCTTTAAAGGTGATTGCGATTAATTAGTCGGGCTAGCTATATTTTAGGACGACTTTAGTTTTATCTTTTCGCCAATAGAATCACACTACTCATATACACTAGCGGAATATGTTTTTATCACATTTCTTTGTATAGACAAAAATTATTGACAAATAACACTGGCCAATTAAGTAACACTGACCATCATTAATTATAAACTAAAACGGCAGGTGAGTGAAAGGGCAGCTTGAAACAAGACCAAACATCTGTCATTTCCTCCAGAGGGCGGGGATCCCATGTTTGATATATAAGAGACGTCAGGGTCCTCAGTTTTTCCGAAGGAATATTAGAGATCGAGAAGACTGAATTAGCAGGCTGCGTAAATCACTCCAAGTAATCGTCAGAAATTTTCAAAACGACCCCTAAAAGATCCTGGAAGTCTTAAAAAAAAGGGTGTGGTTGACTTATTTTCACAACCCCTAAGATTGCACAAAAAACATTGTTAAATTAAATCAGTTCCAATTATAAAACAAAACATAGAGGGAAATCAATATCGATGAGCTCTTTTTCTTCTTTTCCGACAACCTAAGAGATTGCAGGAAATGCAAATTTGCAGAAAATCTGAATTATTGGCACCTTAAAAGATTCTCAATCACAATTTTTTACTCCTAAGAGATCCTACGAGCATCCCCGGTACTTTTACCCCGATGTCAAAAAAAGTGAAAACGTATTATTTTGTTGAATGTACTATAAAGGACTAAAAGCCCTGGAAGAACGGCTGAACATATGGCGAATTGGACACTGGGGAAGCGGAGAGGAAATGAAAGCCACTGGCTAGCGTTTACAGAAAGAGAGAAGTAACCCGCGTGAAAAACAGAAAACACGAATACTTTCCTTATTTTGTATCTTCATGGTAATGATTTTTTGTGGGGTGCACCCCTTACTGAGTGCCCCGCACCCCTCCCTGAGAAAATCCTGGATCCGCCCCTATGTATTAATCCACTCCGCCTCTCATCTAAATTTTGTTTGTAGATTGTAGAATGGGATGAAAGCCTCCTGGCTTGTTGACAGAGTTTAGCGATTGCAGGAGTTTCGCCCGTGCAGCAGGCAGAGCATTACCCATTAGAAGTATTATTAGAAGCAGCAGAGATGATTGAATAATGTCACCATGTTGGATCAAAAGGAGATTTTGTGACCTTTTGTCTTCTTTATTGGCATATCACATTTGCAAAGGCCTCCAACCCTTAAGGACAAATATAAACCAAATATCAAAGAGTACATTTGAGAATTTATATCAAAATACTGCGCAGAAATTGTATCAGTGCGTTTCCATTTAGTATCGCTCGTTACATATTTTGTTTTTAATTGAAATCATATCTACTCGTTGCCCTCTAAAAAAATAAAATAAAATAATTTAAAGTGTTTGTTGTTGTTGTTGTTGTTTTTGC